GGCTTAGGGTTTTTGGGGTTTGGGGGTTTAGGAGTTTAGGGTTGAAGGTTTAGGATTTAGGGTGTAGGGTTTGGGGTTTGGGGTAAGTTGAAGGTTTAGGGTTTAGGGTTTAGAGTTTAAAGGTTTAGGGTTGGGGGTTTAGACTTTAAGGGATTTAGGGTTTGGGGTTTAGGGTTGAAGGTTTAGGGTTTAGGGTCTAGGTTTTTGGGTTTAGGGTTTGGGGTTTAGGGTTTAGGGTGTTGGTGGTGGTTCCCAGCCCCTGCACGCATTGGGTACATGCAGCTATGCCTTCCCGGATTTTGCCAAAAGTCTTGCGCCCTGAGCCCATCCTTGTCCTTCTCAATGAAATGGCGGCCGGGCGCTTGCAGCCAGATGCCTTTAGCCATCCGGCATGCAGAAGTGAAGCATTTTCCTTAGTAAAGTTATAGTAGAACTGCCCCAAAAAATCTGTTCTGATTATTCAGGCCCGATATTTGTTGTTGGGTCTTCTCGGACGTTCGGGGTGTGTTAGATCCAAGGTGCCGATCGGAAGAGCTGCACATCAAAGACATTCAGTACCTGCATACATGCATACATACAAGGTTTAGGCTAGGGTACATATACATTTCTTATGCATACACACATTAATCACACATGCATGCATACATAGGTATGTACATACGTGCTTACGTGCATAGGTACATACTTACTACATAGCTACGTACGTACATGCATGCATACATGCAACATGCATGCATGCAAAATACCTAGATGTGTATATCTACGGGAGGTGGATGTAGGAGACCGGTTGGTAAGCTTCCCTTCTCCACGGCCTTGCAGTTTTTAGCGTGAAATGGCTTGGCTCTATGACAATCAGGGGTTCCTAAACGCTATAGATGCTGGACCCCTAAATTAACCGCCTACCCTACACCCTAATCCCCAAATCCCTAATTCTTAAGGTCCCTCTAGTAGGGAGTTACCCCGAATGCCCAAGAAGCCGACGCTGAGGTGCTACTTACGCCATCACTACGGCGGCGGGACAGTCCCACTGGCAGGGTGCCGTGGCGATGCTGCGCAGCCATCCAGAGGCATCCCGGTGGTTTAGGGTTCAGCGTTTTAGCGTGAGGATTTCGGGGTTAAGGGTTCCGACATGCAAAGTTTAGGGTTTAGGGTTTCTCATTCTGTTTTTTCATTTTGGGCGATTGGGGCTTGAGCATTGGAGGTAAGTATCTTAAACTGCAGTTCGGATTCTTTGCTTCAGATGTGACTGTCGGGGTGAGGTCAGTGCTTCTGCCTTGGGTGGGCATCTGCGGCTCGAGATTTCTGGAGTTTGGTTTTGACGGTTTGGCTTGCTGTTGTGTAGCTAGTTGTGCAGATGTCGTGTTGCTTGCCTCGGGGAAAGATGTTTAGGTAAGCCCTAAATCCTAAACCCTAAACCCCCAAACCCTAAACCCTTACTAAACGTGTTTCAGTCAACAGCGCATTTTTGGAGACCAACTCCCTCTTTGGGGTTTCTAGCCTCGCCAAGCACTGGGGCCCTCAAGCCACAACTACGCATAGGCCCCATAGTAGTTCCTTTTTTGGGGTTCATATTTAGAACCCGTGAAGGTAATCCCAAAAAGGAACTACCATGGGGCCTATGGGTAGATTACAGTGCAGCAGGTGCAGAAAACCCTAAACCCTAAACCCTAAACCCTAAACCCTGTGAATTGTGATGCTAACGACTGCGGCTTCCCGGACCCTGAGATCCAAAATGAGTTCTACAGCCAAGTTCCTCATAGCAAGGCTTATTATAGGGGCCTTAATAATTAGAATAGGGTTTGGGGGGTTCCTTATTTTTGGTTATAGTATCGTAGGCCCCAAAACCCTATTCTAATTATTACGGGCCCTCTATTACGCCCCTACGCCTGAAACCCTGAACCCTAAAATTTAAACCCTATGAGCCCGAAACCCTAAAGCCAACATCTTCCCTGTAACCCCGATCCCTGCGAGATGGCAAGCAATGAGCTGTGAGCCCTGACTTTCAGGGTAGAACTTCCGCGGATGGAAGTTTCAGAAGACAAAGAACCTTCCCCTGAGGAATAGACTTTGGCCCTCAGGTATTTATAGTTTAGGGGCTACTTCAATTTTTAAGGCATTTTAGGGTTCGGGGTTTAATGTAGGAGCCTGATTAAGAAACCCTGGCCCTATAACCCCAATACATTAAGGATCATATTAAGAACCCCAATAAAGAGCCAGGGTTTCTTAATCAGGTTCTTTCATTACTTACAGGGCCAACCTAGAACAGATCTCTAAACCCCTGAACCCTAAACCCTAAACCCCTAAACCCCTAAACCCCTAAACCCCTAAACCCTAAACCCCTAAACCCCTAAACCCCCTAAACCCTACATTAGGGTTGACCCTTTGTGACGAAGCCTCCGAAGAGTCCTCCCTGGTGTTCCTTTGCAGGGGCCCTAAATGCATTCCTATGATTTCCACTTATTTCCCTAAACCCTATAAGCCAAATCAGGCCTGAACCGCCTACATCCTAAACCCTAAACTTGGCCATAAACCCTAAACCAGACACCCTAAAACCCTAAACCCTAAAACTCTAAACCCTAGGTGCCCTTTACTTAGCGGTTTTTGGGGTTTGAAGGCTAGTGCTGCGAGCTGGAGTGCCGACGGGACCTCAGCAAGTCGGGTAGGTTTCCTTAAGGGATTTAGAGTTTAGGGTTTTGGGGTTTGGGGTTTAAGTTTCGGGTGTGGGTTTAGGGTTTTGGGGTTTAGGGTTTAGGGTGTGGGGTAGGGTTTAGCGGTTTAGGGTTTTGGTGTTTTGGTTTTTGGGGTTTTGGGTTGAGGGTTTTAAGGTTTAGGGTTTTGCGTTAATAGTTAAAGGTTCCTTTTAAGGGATTTGTAGGGGTTCCCTTAAACTTTAAGGTTTGAGAGCTTTGCTGGAGGAGTTTCTGTAGGTTATTTTGATGTTCTAGAACTGCTCAGTTTTGTGGCGAGTTAGACGGGTCCTATCACGGGTCCTGTCCGGGTCATATGAGGTTGACCATGATTGCTCTAAAGTGGCTCTATTTCGGAGCTTTATCCGGGTGGGTCCAAGGCTCAGCATTGTGGGCTTTGGCTTTAGATGCTTAGACGCTCGGAGCTCAAGGCTGTTCCTGCTGTTCCTCAATCCCGGATCCTAAACCCAATTCGCTAAGTCCTAGACCATCTAGCCCTAAAGATCTGTACCCCAACCCTTCAAACTTAAACCCATGACATGACACACTTTCTTCTAAGGTCCTGCGTGCTGGCCAACACGAAGAGGAGGGATTGGCATTGAAACCGAATTCGGGTAGTTTCTGAGGGTTTTTCTGGATCTATCCTAGGGTTTAGGGTTTGGGGTTTAAGGAGATTTGGGTCCTTGTGATATGGGTGCCCCCTTCCTTGGGGTTCCGAAGAGGAGACCCCCTAATTTAAGAGAACTACCCGGTAACTACCCATTTGGGTGCTACGGGTGAGAAAGAAAGGTTGAGGGCTGTAGGATTTTAGGATTTAGGTTTAAGGGTTTAGTTGGGGCTCTAGGGTTTAGTGTTTAGAGTTTTGGACCCGCCCAACTCTGCACCCTAAAGACCACCTATAAAATGATTAACGAAACCCCGCATTCAGATTTGGTGGCCAAGGAATATTTGCATCAGATCCAGTCCATATGACAAGCTCGCCCTAAACAACATAGATCCCAACCCCTGAACCCTAAATCGTCCGCCGGTAGTATCGTAAGAACTCTACCTAAGGACCCAAAAACCCCCACTTGTGGAACCCTCGAAAACACCTGTCAGAGCCTTTGATGAATCTCTGACCTGAAGCCACCCCGGGTTTAGGGCTTTTAGGTTTTAGGGTTTAGGGCGCAGGAAGGATGGCGCAGATCTCTGGGATTGCCACTCGTCTCAAATGCAGAGAGGACAGGTTGTGGTTGTATGAGCTATTCTGTAGGGCTTGTGGGGTTTAGGGTTTGTGGGTTTCGGCTTTAAGGCTTTTGGGTTTATGGCTTCGCAGTTTCGGATGTTGATTACAACCTACCTTGCCAGGCAAACTGGCAAATGGTGAATTGAATTTTCCGGTGGCATGCCAGGGCTTCTTGCAGTTACGGGTCCTGGATTACCTATTACGGGGTCTTTGTGGATATGATCCTACCGAACAAGGATCTGTATTGCCAGGCCCCTTTTCTCCCGGAAGTCTTGCTTCCCCCTAAACCCTAAACCCTAAACTCCCGAGTGCAAACCAGGCTTGCAGCAATGCCATCGCTCAGTGATGGCTGCTCAGTCGCCTTGGCCAGGGTTTAGGGGGGTTTAAGGGTTTAGTGGGGTTTAGGCTTTGGGGCTTAGTGGGGTTTAGGGTTTAGGCTTTAGTGGGGTTTAGGGTTTAGGCTTTAGGAGGGTTCAGGGTTTGGTGCTCTGGTTTCTTACTTTTGGCTTCGAGCATGAAGGCATTGCATCCCTCGGAGCTCATTGACTTCATAAAGTTAAGTAAAACAAACCACCGTAAACCCTAAGGCCCTAAACCCTAAACCCTAAAGCCGTAAGTAAGACGAACCCTAAACCATAAAACCCTTAAAACATAAAGCCCTAAAGCCCTAGACCCTAAACCTTAAACCCTAAAACCCCAAACCCTAAAACCCTAAACCCTAAAACCCCTAAGTAAGGCCATCTAGGGTCTAGCGCTGGCGACCTGCTGTCGGGGCTCATTTTTACGGTTGATGATATAAATCCTGCATTACCCAGAATAAGGAACATACCATACTTGCCATACTTCCCATAGTTTAGGGTCCTTACTTGGAGGGTCGGGGGACTTAGTAACTAGTTGTTTTATGGACTTATAAGTACCATAGCCCCAATTAGGATCCCTGCTAGGGTAATTAGAACTCTACTTATTAACTAGTTACTAAGTCCCCCGACCCTCCAAGTAGACCCTAAACCCTAAACCCTTAAATCCCTAAACCCTAGACACTTAAATCCCTGAAGTTGGTCGGGTCCTTAAGGACCCTAAACCCTGAACCCTAAATCCCTAAAACCCTAAACGTCCCCTGCATTTATATCATCGACAGTATTGCACACGGGTTGGTAGCCAAGACACCGAGCCAGACCTGAAGCGCTTATAGAGCTCATGATTCCGAACGCAGGGTTCAGGGATTGGGTTTTGGGTTTTGGGTTTAGGGTGTAGGGTGTCGGGTTTAGGGTTTAGTTTAGGGTTTAGGGTCTAGGGTTCCGGGAATAGGGTTTCCTTGAACATAAACCCTTCAACTCCAACCCCTAAACTCTATACCCCTAAACCCCTAAACCCTAAACCCAAACCCTAAACGCTAGCATGACGAAGATGCAGTCTGCAAGGCTTGAGAATCGACGTGGTGTGTTGTTCGGCGACGCGGCTGGTCTACAGCTGGTTTCGGGTCTACAGTTGGCTTTGAATAGATGAATACTACAGCGTGCTTTTTGGACGGGTGGTAAATCTTTTTGGTGTACATAATCCTACAATAATTCAGGGCAAGCTTCCTCTGGAGAGATGGATCTCCGCGACCACGAAAGACGCCATGTATTCTGAGACCCTCGATACTAGGTGTCATGGGTTCCTCGTTATCGGTACTTTGAACTGCCGAAACCTACTTTGCTGAGGGTCCCTGTAAATTCTTTCGCAATATTCATCATGTGAACCTACAAAAGGTAGCTTTTGGCAGGTCAAGGTATACTGTTCATGACCCCGAAACCCTTATTCCAATCATTAAAGCTCCCATATTACACAAAGGACCCAGTGGTTATTTCGCATTTCGCAGGGCGTGCGGAATTCGTGCCTTCAGATCCAGGGACTTTGTGGTTTAGGTGCTGAGGGTTTAGGAGTTTAGACTGTTTCGCGTTTCAGGGCTAAGGATTTCTGGGTTCAAGGGTTTCCAAAGCCCTGAACCCTAAACCCTTAAACCCTGTAAACCTTAAACCCTAAACCTTAAACCCTTAAACCCTTAAACCTTAAACCCTAAACCCTAAACCCTTAAACCCTAAACCCTAAACCCTTAAACGCTTAAACCCTTAAGCCCTAAACCCTAAACCCTTAATCCCAAAACCCTAAACCCTAAACCCTAAACCCTTAAACCCTTAAACCCTTAAACCCTTAAACCCCTAAATCTAAAACCCTAAACCCTAAACCCTAATGGAGCTCCACCCTCTTAAAACTGTGCCCTGAAGGCTTCAACTCCAATCCGTTTACTGACCTTGGTTTAGGGTTTAGGGTTTAGGGTTTAGGCTCTAGATTAAAGGAAACTACAGGTGGGGAGTTTAGGGTTTAAGGGTTTAGGGTTTTAGGGTTTAGGGTTTAGGGTTTAGGAAACTACAGGCGGGGAGTTTAGGGTATATAGGGCTTCTATAAGGTTTCCATAAGGTATATAGACATTCTATAAGGCTCCTATAGCGGTAACTACCCACCTGAAAATGTCCTAGACTAGGCCCCAAACCCTCAACCCTAAACGGCTTAGTGTTGTGGGTTGAGGGCCTAGACTTTAGCGTTTAGACTCTAGACCTGTAAACCGATTGGGCTGTGGCGAGACCTTCTGCCGAAGTCATCATTTAGTGCTCAGGGCTTGTAGCATTTAGAGTTTAGGGTGGAGGTTTTTAGTTTTTCGGGATTAGGGATGTATGGTTCAGGATTTCTTGGATTCGGGGGGCAAGGCATACATGTTTGGAAGGCCCCTGCACTACATGCCGAAACACGACCTTCCATCCTATACCGTACATCCTTCCCTTCTCTTGCTGATGCTCTAAACCCTAAACCCTAAACCCTAAACCAAGCAAGAAAAGATGCGTTTTTGTTCAAGGTGTCGGAGTTTCCGCCAGTCAAAACAGCCGTCCTAATTCCAAAACGTATGCCAACAAGGCGATCTCCATGCCTATCCCTTAATCCCTAAACCAGTAAACTGGCTTCACCAGTGTTAAGGTTTCCCTAAACCCTGAACCCTAAACCCTAAACCTTAAACCTTAAACCCTAAACCCTAAACCCTAGGCTTTGGGGCCCATGAGTGTTGCAAGTGAGGATGAGATCCTGCAGCCAAGATGTCCCAGAAGCCTGGCAGGCCATCCGAACCTTCTTGGAGGGTCGGGGGACTTAGTAACTAGTTATTTTATGGACTTATAAGTACCATAACCCCGATTAGGATCGCTGTTAGGGTAATTATAACTCTACTTATTAACTAGTTGCTAAGTCCTCCGACCCTCCAAGTTCTTGTAGGCTAGGATATGAGTTCCTTATCACTTAGAACTACTTAGAACATCTTGGAAGGGGATCCCAACCCTAGACCCTAGACCCTAAACCCTAAACCCTAAACCCTAAACCCTAAACCCTAAACCCTATAGTATGCCCCGAAACTGGAGTTTAAGTATTAAGGCCCCGGCTCCAGGGTCTAGAACCCCAAGCCCCGAACCCTAAGTTCTTTAGCTGAAACCCTATAAACCCTAAGCAACCTAAACCCTGAACCCGAAACCCTGAACCCGAAAAAACCCTGAACCCTAAACCCTGAACCGTAAATTAAAACCTAAACCCTAAACACACCCCAAGAAACCTAGGACATTACCCCTAGGCCCTAGGGGGTGGGGGCCGAAGTTCGGGGTGCGGGATGTCCGATTTCTAGGTCTCCCAGTGGTCACTTTTTCTCTTTTTTTTTGGGGGGGAATCAGGTTTAGGGTTTAGGGTTTAAAGGCCCAAAAACTAGTACAATTAGTAGAGCAGGTAATCTTGAAAAGGTTTGGGGTAATATACAAGTAGGAAAAGGAGAGCCCCGTTTTTTTCTGAGGTTGCTGGGGATCCCAGTTTTAAGTTGTAAAGACTCATTGGGTTTAGATGAGTGCGTAGTGACCAGAAAGTTGGAACATGGATTTAGGATGATTATTGCTGGGATGCCTTAGACTATACTTCTCTACTTTACTCGACCATGCTGTACTGTATTATACCATACGAGCCTATATTTTAACATAACACTTTTCAATGTTCTATGCTGTATTATGATATAGTGAAGGAGAGACCGTTCCAAACCAGAGGCCGACACTGGGTTTAAACCCTAAACCCTAAACCCTAAACTGCATACTAAACGCACCACGCTACCAACCTCACGGAACCCTAAACCCAAGACCCGCTATGCTCGGAGCCATAGTGCAAAGCCCTCACCTTGATGCACCATCTACCCAAGCCCTAAAGCCTAAACCCTAAACCCTAAACCCTAAACCCCTGAATCCTAAACCCCTAAACCCAAGGCCCTAAACCCAGTTAGCCTGAGCTTCGAGCCTTTGCACAAAACGAGGGCGACTCCCGCTCGCCACCACTCTAATCACATTTTCAGTTGTTCCTACACAGTGCGGTTTAGGGCTCAGGGTTTAGGGTTTAGGGTTTAGGGTTTAAGGTTTAGGGTTTAGGGTTTAGGGTGTCGCAGGGGTCGTTTAAAGAGTCTCCTTGGAAGGGTGTCTTATGAGTACATGTGCCCGTCTAGTATATACTTTGGCCTTTGGCATTATTGGTGTTTCTGTGCACGTGCTGTGAGGGAGAAGTATCCACTTTATATGGCTGCAAGGACCCTAAGGCAAAGAGTGCGTCTAAGATGCCAGATCTTGACGCTCCGCCATGAGAGGATAATTCTGATCTGTGGTGGCTTTAGGGTTCAAGGTTTATAGGGTTTAGGGTTGTTACTGTCTTAGTGGTTGAGGGTTTAGGGCTTAGAGTTGCTACTGTCTATATGTTCTTGTTTTGCGTTCTTGCAGAGGTGGTAAATAGGTAAGGCGATAGGTAGGCCCCTAGTCAGGTGGGTAGGTTCGGGTAGGTTTGGATAGGTTTAGGGTTTAGGATTTAGGGTGGGTAGGGTGCAGGGTTCACACCTCGCAGAGGCTGTATGCTTTAATCAAGATGCTTCAAGGAAACGAGCATAGGTTGGTTTGGACGCAACATATGGGTGGTTCCTAAATTAGGGTCCTTTTTGGGTCCCCAATATAGTACGGCACCCTTATAATATGTACCCTAAAAGGGACCCTCATTTTCAAAACTACCCATATATTTGCAGCACCTTAGAGACCTTGGGTCCAGGCAGGCCTGAACTGTCTCCGGCGAATGGCATCAGCGCAGATTCAGCAGAACGACGCTTGCTCCTGTGTAATCTGGGAGATTGTCAGGTGGGTAGTTACCTTACTAGGAGCGTTACAGAAGGTCTACATACCTCATGGAAGCGTTATAGAAGCCGTATATACCCTAAACTCCCCACCTGTAGTTTCCTGTCATGTAAGGCTAGGGCCAGAGCTTGAAGCCTTTCGATTGATAATTTTCGACTTAGCGGTCGGGTTTAGGGGTTTACTCCGGCCTATAGGCTGTATATTACAGGGGTGCATGATACAAGGTTTAATAGTTTTGGGTTTGAGCTTTGGCTTCCGGGATGGCGAGCGCGCTGTCTACAAGCTACAGATCCACTCCACAGAATATGCGACATGTAGCGAGTGGTGCACCCGAAACCCTAAGCAAATCCTAAACCCTAAACCCTGAATCCTAAACCCTAAACCGTATAAATCCTAAGCCCTAACCCTAAATCCTAAACCCCAAACCCGAGGCCAAAGAGCCGACCCTTCTCTGGGCGCCCTCTCTGGAGGCGCTAAATGTACACACATGTCCTGCGCCTATAAGTGACCAGCTGACCCTAAACCCTGAACCCTAAAAACCTAAACCTCATACTTAAACCCTAAACCCTATAAACCCTATAAGCCCTATAAGCCCTGTAATCTCTTCAAACCCTATAAGCCCTGTAAAGCCTATAAGCCCTAAACCTGCACTCTTGCTTGGCTCAACTTGAAACGCAAAGGAGGGCGATCTCCAGAAGGATAGGGTGGCACGATCCTCCGAACTTAAGTCCTAAGGCTCCATGTGCCCACGTAGTATACACCAATGTCTTTATGGGGTTCCTGTGGCAGGTCCTCTAAAGGCTAATATAGGGGCCTTAATAATTAGAATAGGGTTTGGGGTCTATGATACTGACCCTAAGCCCTAAAGCCCTAAACCCTAAGAGTCCCGGCGAACACAAGCTAGGAGGCGGGATCACTTTCGGATCACAACCACGAAGCATGCACTCCGACGTCGCCAATCATTCGGGTTTGTCATGCAAGACTCGGAGCCCGTAACCAAAACCCAAAGGGACGGTTTGGGGATGTGCATAGAATTTAGGCCTAGAAAAAGCTGAGACATACCCACATATTTATGACACACCTTGTAGTTCCTATATAAGGAAACTCTTCCCCTTCATCTACGACCCCCTTAACCGCTGAACCCTAAACCCTGCCTGGTGCACCCGCAGACATAAGATCGTTTCAGGTCGGTAAGCGCTATGCCTTTACCCGGCCAAACACAATGCACCCCTAGACCGTACCACGAGACTTAGTTCCCCAATACACAACCTTTAAATTTTCTGGGTTCTTAGAATCTAGTAGGAATCTGAAAGTTTTACCTTTTATTTCGCTGGCTTGTTGGGGAAGTAAGGAGAATCCTCAGGCCCTGGATCTAGAAACTCCAAGCCCTGAGCAACCCAAAAGCCCCAAATCCTTGCAGGAGCGAAAACCTCCTTACAAACTCCTCACCCTAAACCCTAAACCTTGAATGTAGGGGCCTTAACAATTACCTATACTGTACTCTTTTAGGGGTTAATGATTTTAAGTATAGTATAATGGGCTCCAAAACCCTATTCTAATTATTAAGGCCCCTATATTATGGCCCTGACCGGCCCCAAATCCCCACACAACCCTGCAAGAAGCGGTTGTCGAGCACCTACGAAACCCTATCGTTCATGGTTTAGTGTCTAGGGTCCTGAACCCCTGTAAACTCCTCTGAGCCCTCTTCAGGTCATTGTTTCTGGAACGGTTGCGGCGATCTGTGCGGCGGTGCCAACGTGGCATGGAGCTTTGCAGGCAGAATGTGTTTAGGGTTTAGGGTGTTGGGGTTTGGGGCTTCGGAATTCAGGATTTCAGTGTTTTAGGCTAAGACCAGCGCTGCCATGGAATGTTACAGGGTATGTTTTATCGCTTGTAGGTGTATGCTTCAGTTACTAAACCCTAAATCCTCCTGGTGCATTGAGGATCATTGAAGTTCAGGGTAGTGAATCTACGACAAGGCCCCGAAACCCAACCATAGTGTCCGGGGTTTCGGGTGTGGGGCTTTGGGATCAGAACCAACGGCAGTCCGCACTTGCCCAATGGGGACAGTGGGAAAGTGGGTTCTGGCACCAGCTTCATTATCCCGCCAGTGCCTGCTATTTGGTTTCCTCAACCCTAAACCCAACCTTTACCTTGAGCTTCCCATGGCCACCCCTCATCCCCGTCCTACACCAACACCCTAAACCCTGAACCCTAAACCCTGAACCCTAAACCCTAAACCCTAAACCCTGAACCCTGAACCCTGAACCCTGAACCCTAAACCCTAAACCTAAACCCGAAACCTAAGAACCTCAGCCTGCTTTGGGCTTTCGATCTCGGCGGCTGGGCTGCTTTCGGGCCGACGCTCTTCGGCCCCAAGATCTGGGCTTCAGGGTCCCTTCAGGCTTTGGGTGCCGGGGCTCTGGGCTTAGGGTTTAAGATTGGATTTAGGGCCTTAAACCCTAAACCCTAGACTATAAGCCCTAGACCCTAAACCCTAAACCCTAGACCCTAAACCCTAAACCCTAAACCCTAAACCCTAAACCCTAGACCTTAATAGAAGTTTTTAGGGTTTAGGGACTCTGGCTCGGCTTTTTGAGGCTTGGATCGTTTTGGATTGTCGGTAGACGTAGGGTTTAGGGTTTAGGGTTTAGGATTTAGGGTTTAGGGTTTAGGGTTTAGGGTTTAGGGTTTAGGGTTTCCCGTGGCTCCAAAAAAAGCTACCTGGTTCAGGAACTATACA